CTTCTTGCGATGCAGATCCTGCCGTCTGCTGTTTGTTGTCCGCGGGGAGCTGATGAGCACTCGGGGCCGCTTTGGAGGGCGCGTCAGCACCACAGCCCTCCTTGTACACCACCACGGTCTTGGGCGGCTCCATCGCCAGGTACTCGAAGTCACTGTCAGCGTCGGACCAGGAGTACGCCGACTCCTGGCCGTCCTGATGCCGCCTCTCCCATATTCCGAGGAAGTGGCTGTCTTCGGAGGATTTCGAGGCGCTTCGGGCCACTCCCGATGTGGGGTCGGACGCTTTAGATTCCGTGCCCTCCTGTGTTGCTTCGGAATGATGACTTCCTGATGCTTTTGAGGAATGTGAGTCGCTGCGTTCCAGAGCGGCTTTGGAATGTAAATTCGAAAAATCCAGGTGAGTCGCGCGGAGATTCGCCGCCTGAGAACTCGCAAGCGCCTCGAGGGATTCGACCGAGGAGACAGCAGGAGCGACCTCCGTCTTCAGAGTCTTATGGACGAGCCGCCCGATCTTGTGCTTGGCATCTTTGATCCTCTTGAGGGAAGACGATATGGTGCCCTTAATGTCCTTCGGCTGCTTGTCGTTGCTGTTGAAGCTGAATTTCCTCTTCAGCTTTCTAAGCTTCCTCTGCCTCTTGGAGAGCATCTTGCCGTCCACCTTGTTTCCCGCCGTGGGCTCGAACAGGTCCAGGTTCAGGTTGTCCATGTCTGTGTCGTGCTCCGTCTCCGAAAAGGCCTCGAACTCGGCGTCGGTCACCAGGTCTTCGTCGGAGAAATTCTCGATGACTTCCTGCTCTTCAAGCTCGTCGTACCCGATCATCGACGGGAAAGCAACTTCGCTGAACTCGTAGTTGCTGCAGGGGACGATTTCCTCGACGCTCAGCACCGTTTCCGCGCTCCTGCAGGACTTTAAGCTTTCCCTCTTGGGGTCCTGGGGTTCCCTGGGCTCAGGCGTGGAATCGTCCAGAATCTTTGCCTCTCCCACTTCCATCAGGTTTGGGAGAGACTTCGAGTCTGACTGCGGCGTGAATTTCCCAGACTCGATTACTACTTCATTGCTCGATTTATTCAGATCGCTGTCCAGATCGAGTGGAAGGACCCGGTCGACCTTAGACGCCAGGCTCATATTCTTTGCTTTTCTCTCGCTGAAGGCACCTGCATGGGAAATATTAGACTCTACGATCTCTCTGTCTGCTTCGTAAATGGAGGAAGTCTCTTCTGCATTGTCGATTTCAGACTGTCTTCCGCAGAGAGAGCTTATACCTGACGCTACTGACTCGTTGCTGTCGAAGACGACAGCGATGGAGGATGAGTCACTGCCGCCTTTCACCGACTCCGATTCAAGCGCCAGTACCTCGGCGTCGATCTCGGCCTCCAGTCTCTCGAGATCGCGAACCAAATTACGCCTGAACTCCACCTCCTTCTCCATGCCTTCGGGAGGCTCGCTATCGTCCAGGATCTCCGCGGACTCGCTCTTCCCTGCGGCTTCGTTGCTCGCGCCATTTTGCTTCCTCCACTGGTCTGCTATGTTCTCGAAGGTGTGAAGAGTGAGCCTCCTTGAGCGCAGGGAGCTTCGCGGTTTTGGCTTGATGAGTTTAGGCACAAAATTTAGCGACTTTCTCTTTTCCTTGTCGGTCTGCTCGGAGGTGTGCAGGTGGAGGTGACCGAGATCATCACTTGACATGTACTCCTTCCGTCTGAGCGGACATGACGAAGGGCAAATCAGGGGGAGGTCGAGCTTCTGCTGCTCTGTGCGAGTTCTGCTGTTGGAGTTTTTCAAGATCTCAGCTCTCTTGACGAGAAACTCTAGATTCTCCGTCTTGGAGTTTGGATAATTTATGCTCTGAGGGTCAACAAGACCGGGATGCTTGTTGCTCTCGCTGACTTCCTGTCTGACGGCACCTCGAGGCCACACTGGTGGCGGGAGGGTGAGAGGTTTTCCGTCGGGGGTGATGTTGTGACAAAATTCCTTATCTTGTTCATATGACTCCAATTTTGCTAAATCCTCATCAGTGATCATCTTAGTTTCCTCTTTAATCTTTGATAAGCAGGAAACACCAGAACTTGCTGAGAATTTTCGCCCTTCACTCAGACTAGATTCACAAGCAGATCCGGTCATGGAGCTGATCCCTGAACTTTGCATGGATGTCGTGCTTGCGCCGGACATCTTTCGCACGTCAGCGTTCTCCCCCAGCTCCGTAGGCGACGTCGGCGCTGCTTTGTACTCGTGGAGAGGCTGGCCCCGCATGCTCTTCTTCCTTCCCGGGAACCATTCCCAGTCGTCTGACATCGAAGACGAGAACGACAGCTTCCTGGCACTCGTCTCTGATAAAGACGATATTCCGGAGGAGTTCGAATACCTCCTGACGGGCGTTTCCCCCGAAGGAGACACGTCGATGAATTCATCATCGGGGGTTGTGATCGTGGAGCTAAATGATGTTTTGCGACTCTCGTTGGAATCGCAGGTCGAGCCTTTGGAGTCCTTCCTCGGGAACACCGGTCTGGGAGCCTCGAATTGGGGCGTCGTCGTGAGGGATTTACTCACAGGATTTGTGTGGGAATTCGCCAATGTCTGATCGGCGCTCCTGTGGCTACAGTCCTCCTCGGTGTCAGTCATGATCTCATCACCTATATCGGATGTCTTAGACACTTGCCGAGAGATATCTTTTATCGCTTCTTTCACAACTTTGTCACTATACTCTTTGATGTGATGTTCATCCTGATACATTGAACGACTAAGCATTTCACACGATTTGTTGTTCCCTTTCTCACTCATTCCCTCCTTACTCTCGTTCACCGCCGCCAGACTCGTATCTTCACTGCATGTCTCACTCACTGAGTTTTCCGCCTGACTAAGGGCATGCGCGCACTGCAGGTCACACACCTCGCCGCTCATGCTGGCCGCTGCACGCTGGTCACTTTCACTTTCGCATGAATCGAAGTTTACTACAGGAGGCGAAGTTGTATCAAGGGGCAAGTGTGGAGTGCCGTCCGTACCCTCACATGTGCTGACAGTGACTGACCTCGTCACGAGTAAGTCGTCACAGCTACGAGTGGCTGAGTATATTCCTGGCGCGAGGTGAGCGGTAGTGCCTCCTGGCCCACTCTGACTGGCACTGGTCGATGGTAGGGTGCCACTCATGATCCGCTCCGCTATCAAAGTGGCCAGTGCCTCAAGGTCAGGGGTAGGCTGGGCCTCTGCAGCGAAATCGAAAGTGCAAGTTGCCAGCTGAGCGGCTGCGACGGTAGTAGCGTGTGGGTCAGCATCTGTGCCGCTTGCCTCACCCGGGGCGGAGCTCCGGCCACTTGTGACCTCATTTTCACGCGGATCACGCGAATTTGCGTAATGAGGCTCCATCGGGCCCGCGACTCCCTGACCGGACAATGCTGCACTCTGATTGTGATCATTTCCGGTTATGCAGCTACCTCTTATAACAGGTGCGCCGGCCTTGATTAGATCCGAAGTCAATCTATCCGCATATTTCCCAGCACATATACTTTTTTCGCTGGCATCTGACGTCGGGCTACATTTTGAACGAGCGTCGATATTGCGCACGGTTTCGAAAGAAGCTTCGATATCACTGGACGGAGTCGACGCTGGAGCAGACTCATCGGTGACGTCTGCCAGCGGCGGGTTAGTTAGTTCTGGGGTTAGTAATGTGTTAGTGTTGCCATCGAAGGAACCATGGCAACTGTCATCACTGTCACACAATACGGTGTCAATGACGGTCTCAAATTCGTCGCTATCGTGCCCCTCTTCGCCGAGAGGGTCAGGATAAGCAACAGTTGTGTTTTCGGTACCCAGGGCAGAACCCGCATGAGACTCTTGAGCACTGCCCTTACCTAATCCTAAAAAAGGCTTGACAATAACGTTGTGGGGAGCAGCGTCAAGGAAGCCGTCTTTCTCGTCCGAAGGTTCTGGAAGCGCCGGAGTGGGAGAATTACTCTCGGTGCTGGTGGACTCTGCCACCGGACTCAAACCTGAGCTGGAGGTGTCGGGCTCTCCCACGTCGGCCAAGTTGCCGTCGTCGTAAGAGTCCTGTTCCTGGAAGTGATTGTCTGATTTCTGGTCGGAAAGAGAGCTCCCGACGGAGGACAGCACGGAGGAACTGTCTGACGGGAAGTTGAAGTTGCCCTGGCCTCCGGTAGAGTCGAGCACCAAGAAGAACTCGTCGATGTCCGACTCGTGGTCGCTCGGCGGAGACTCGTTTTCCCAGTCGGCGACGAAGTGACGGAGGATCAGCTGGGACTCCTGGTAATCGGCAGGATCGTCTGTCTCGTCCTCGTACGTGTTTGGCGACGACTGGGTTTCTTTGCTGTCGCTCGACGAGTACGAGGAATTGTCCCTAAAGCTGGTTGCTACACTTTCTTCATCTTCTTTCTTTTCGGGTTCCTCTTCCTTCTTCGTGTCCTCAAACTCGGGAACCTTAAATTTGCTTTCAAGACTAATAAAGAAGGTAGTGGCCTTGGGGGAAGGCTTTAGCGTAGCCTGCACGAGCCTTGTAGATGCTAGGAGTGTCTGCGGTGTGTCTTGCGTTGCCCTGAGGAACGCCACGTCTCCTAATCGTAAATTCGACGTGGGAGGCGTCTCCTTCTGAGACTCTAATAACTCCTTCGTCGGGTCCTCTGATGATGATTCCTGTGTTGTTTCCACAGTTTCCTCTTCGGTTGTGTTAGTGTCCGCATCTTCCGTTTTGTCGCTCGAGACTGACGAACTAATATCAACCTGGACCTCTGCAGACATTTTCTCTTTTGGCTGGACGCTCTCTGTGTTGCCAGAATTCTTCTCCGCGTCGGGTCGACGATCTTGAAGACTGTCTGACTCTGGACTGCTGTTACTGGCGACAGACTTCTGCCGCTCAAAGAATTCACGTAATTCGCTGACGAGTCTTGGACGGACATCTTCCAAGGAGTCGTTATAGCAGGAACTCTTACGACCCTCCATCGGCGGCAGCGGGGATACGGGTGACGTCGGGCTCTGAGGCAGGTCTTCGAGGGAATCGGCGCTCAGAACACTCGCTTTCCTCACGTCCTTTCCCTCGGATTCCCGGGGGCCGCTGTGTCTCGCGGAGGAGTAATTGGGGTAGAGGTAGTTCGTCTTGGCCTGGAAGGTCTCGGGGGGCTGATACGACCCGTGGGAGGGGTACACATCACCTACCTGCCGCTCGTACGCGCCCCCGCGAGACACGTCCTCGAGCACAGGATAGCCGTCCCTCTGGTGGTACATGGACTCGTAGTCGCTCTCCGAAATGTAGTGGCCGCTGCTCGGGGGATAGGTCCTGGCAGGCAGGTAGTTAGGGTCTGCCGGAGGATAGTCGTGGCATGGCGGGGGATTCACGAAGGGCGCTTGGTGCTGGAAGGACGGGTTGACGTAGGCGGGCATACGTCCGAAGTGGGCGTGGCTCGGCGGTTTCTGCGGGTGTTGGTACCCTTGGTAGGGATGAGGATAGTTCGCCGAGAAGTGAGGATGGCCCACGTTCGAGGCCGGGGATTGGTACTGGATCATCAGATTCTCCAGTGAGTCGTGCAGGTTCGCGGCGTCTTCGTCACTCAGGCATCGTTCGAGGCTGAAATAGCCACCCTCTGCATGCGGCGGGTTGTCGGCCTGCACGTGGCCTCTTTGGGCGAGGTCGGGCGAGGGCGTGAGGGTGTGAGTCTGGCTCTCGAGGGAGTCCAAACCTTCGTCGTCCTCCGACGGCAACGCGGGATCGTGGCATGACGACGTCTGCCTTACGTAGAGATCGAGATGTTGGAAAGTGACACCCGAGAGCGCCCTGTAGACGCCCCGCTGAGGCAGTCGTCCGCGAACGCCGCCCCCGCCCACCACCAGGACCGCCCGTGCAGGGTCGCTCGCCCCAGCAGCGCTATTTCCACCCCCACCGCCGCCCCACGTAAACTCCCTTGTGGCATCCATGGCTACAAGGTCATCGCTCGGGCGCCCCTCACTCGCGCACTCACTTTCTTTAAAAGGATGAGACAGTACTCCCTGCCTCGTAACTCTTCCCTTGTCAACACAAATGCAAATATCTCAGAGAACGATTATAACACAACTTCGAAACTGAAACCACAGATATGGCACCCTTGACACTTTCATAAATGATCACCGAATAGCATCCATCTGCAATACAGTAGTAAATGGCCACTTAGGTATTGATTGATACACTTGTACCCAACAACACCTGTCCAAAAAATCACTTTCAGTTTATTACAAAAAAGTGGTTTTCCTATCCATGGGTGGGTGCTCCCATTTCAACCTGAGATGAACACCTGTAACGGAACATGCTAATTTAGCTTTTTCTTCGTATTAAGGGGATACTTATGCCGTACCTGGCCTAGTTCAGCCTAAGATGACGACCGGTACTTTTTTTTTGCTCGCGTGTCCTCGACCCGGTGTCCCTTTATGGTGTGGCGCTCTTGGTGCGTAATCACTCTCCTTAGCTCTCCCTCTTTATAAAAGCAATGGATATAAATATACAACAGAAAGAAAAATATAATACCAACAGTACTAGTAATAGTAGTAATAATAATAAATCATAATGGTAATAATCATTGTGATGTTAACGGTAGTGGTTTTGGTGATAGCGATGGTAAAGATGATGATGATTATGATGACGATGACGCCGACGACGATGAGGAGAAGGTTATAATGATGGTAATAATAATGATAATGATGATTATGATGATGTTGATGATGAAGACGACGACGACGATGAAGAGGATGTAATAAAAATGATGGTAATGATGACGATGATGCTGATGATGATAATAACAAAGCAACAACAATTACAATACTAATGAATAATAACAATAATAATAATAATAATAATAATAATAATAATAATAACAACAACAACAATAATAATGTTGATAATAATGATGATGATATTAATAATAATAATAATGATAATAATAATAATAATAATAATAATAATAATAATAATAATAATAATAATAACAATAATGATGATAACAAAAACAAAAATAATAATGATAATAATAATAATGATGATGATAAAAATCAAAATCACAGTAACAACAAAAAACACAACTTCAATAAAGTTAAAATAAAAATAGCAGTAATTACAACATAAAATTGTTCCCTCGCGTTAAACGAATGCCTTTCACATAACTCATATTCCAGTTCCACAAATTTCTCAACAAACACATACATACGTACACAGAAATAACAAAAAAAAACAGACATATACAAACCACATACACACAAACGCACGTGCACACACAAATCAACATATAAACTCACACACATAAACTAGTATCTACACAAAACTAGCAGATCCGCCGTAGAAAGTAGTTTTAGTCTGGTTCTCTGCTCTCGTCCATACTAAGTACTTTTTTATTTTGGTCAAGGAATCTTATGCAGATGCCTCGCGTTGCTATGGGTGACGAGCGTCGAACTGTCTCTTTTGTGAGAAACATATTTGGAATTTCCGCTGTTTGTACTTTCACCCTGAGGTCCAGGTGTGTTTTTATTTTCTCAAA